GCGGAGACGCCGCCGTCGCGAATCCTCTACAAGTTCCCGCAGCATACTGCACGCTCCGAGCAGGCAGTGGCACCAGGCCTCGACTGCATCACCTATTCGGACGCCTTCCGCCTCGAAAACAGCCTCCCAGCGGCGAGTCAGTGCTTCGCGTCTTTTAGCGAGTGACATGGCTACGGTATTCTCGTGGGTGGCCAACGCCTGAGTTGAGTCACGCGAAGTTTGGTTTGAACGTGAATCGGCGGCGATCAGACAGGGGTATTGTTGGAAATCGTGGTGCTGGCGGCGGTGGCGAGCTTGCTTGCAGCAGGAAAAAGATGCGACGTCGCGTGGGCCAGCATACGAAGGAGTCCGGGGGTGTAGAAGAGGCAGGTGCAGATGGCTGCTCCGAGGTCTGTTTCCGAAGCGATGGTGGCTGAGTTATGTACGAATCTTCTCGTCATTGGCAATGGACTGCTGGGTTGGGAAACGCTTATTCTGACGGGCGGGGGATATCGGCTGCGGTCATTCCGTGAGCCGCTCAAAAGTCGCGTGCAGAATGAAGACCATTTCTACTTTCGATGGATATGGACGAAGAAAGAATGTGAACGGCGGGAAAGTGCGTGTTTTGAAAAGGTGTTGCCAGGCCCATGGAACTCACAGCCATCTTCATTGACGAGAAAAATGGCACGAACGTAATGGTTGTGCCTTGTGCGAAGACTTCAATCTTGTGGCCTAAAAGGTGAAACTGATGACTTTCCCTACAAACTGCCACAATGACTGTGTGAAAAGTCTCTAGCCGGTTCCCTCCACTCACTGAAAAGACTTCAGCACATCCCTTTCGACTGCTGTGGTTACATCTCGAACAGGTAGTCTTTCTGTGAGATTCTGTTGACATAAAAAAAAAAAACACAGACATACGTTTCTCGGTGTGCCCGAACAATTCGGGACATCAGCTATTCGTCAAGGTATTCTGGGGAAAGTATCATTTGCATTGTTTCTACTGCAGCAGCTGTATCCCCAGTGAGCAGAAAAAAGCAACGTGTGCACCCTCGCTCGCTATACACGGTTTTGCAGGGCGCAAGCACGCAAGGAAAGGACCACCGCACTCGCGTGGAGAGCAATAAACTTTTAAAACGTTGCAAAGTGGGGTAATGGTAACTGTGTACCGCCTCATCTGAACCGCGCAGTCAGTGGTCAACAATCCATGTTTACACCCATCCTTCCCCCTTCCGCCCACCTCTGCATCCTCCCGTTGCAGAATCCGCAATTCCCGAACCTCTGCATCAGCTGCCACGGCGCGAGCTTTGACCAGCTGGGCCTCCCACTGGGCCAGGGACACCATCCAGGACCGCTCGATGATCCTTGCCTCCAAGGACGCATCCGCCTGCCGCCCCCTCAGCTCGCGCATGGAAAGTCTCGCACGCTTGTGCACGGCCTATTGAAACAAGTCGGAGAACGCGTGTGGGATGAACCTGGCCGAAACCGTGTGCAGTGGTCGACTGTTGTGTACCCTTCTGGTCGACGAACCCCGGTTTCGATTACGAAGGGGACACGAATCAGTTCTAAAACGTTTTCCATCAAGTTTTAGCTTCGCGGACGGACACGCTCCCACACGTTTTGCTCTGCACACCCACCCAGAATCTACCATGCATTACCACAGGCGTTATGGAAAGCGAGCAGGATACGTGGACGACGGAGGGTGCGCATCGTCATCCCGTCTGAATCCTCCCCCCAAAACCAAGTGTGCGGGTCCTAAAAGGGACTTGCTGCCAACGACAGATTCTCAAGCCCGTGGCGTATCTCATCAACGTCGCACACGTACCAGTGTAGACTCCACTACCCCGCCGTCCGCGCCACGGCGGTCACCCCGCTGTCGCCAAGCGTTGGGCCACCCGCCGCCATCGTGTCGGCGCAGTCCGTCGGGGGTTAGGAGCCTAGTGACCTCGTAGGTGCTCCTCCGTAAGACTCCTCGCTGGAGCTTGTCCCAGCGGGCGACGCGGCTGGCCTCACTACGAAGCTCTCGCGTCGCTCGTGTTCTCTCGCGGTGCCCCGCCGCTCCTGGCCCTCCTGTCGTCGCTGTTGTTTTTCTGAGCGCGTCCTGGACGTCTGGTGGCGAATCGGCAACGTCAACGCCACTAGGTCTAGTGATGCCGCTATCGCTTTCTCCGCAATCACTTAATGTGCCGCTACCGCTACCACAGAACTCGTTCAAGACGTCTTCTGTTCCACCCGCCGCGGGAGGGGGAGGAACAGGGGGAGGAGGAGAAAGAGGGAAGTTTTGCCCTTCGCCGGTGCTGCCACCACCGGAAGAAGGAGAAGAAGCGAGCTGCTTTATCCTGCCGATATCTGCGGCACACTCCGACACGAAGGTACGCCGGGCCCTGGCCCTGCAATCCCGGTACATCGCTGTCAGACCGCACCACAGGATAACGGCGAGGCTCTGCCGGCGGCGGCGAAACTTGTCCACCGTCGCCTTCATCACGGACTCGTGGAGGGCGACTCGCTCTAGCTCCAGCTGCACGTGGCTGGAAATTTTCTCTATACAATCGGCCTCAGCTGTTTCCTGGACAACTCGAGCCTCGCCATTCTCTTCCTGCTGCTGCTGCTGCTGTTCTTTCGTCCCTGCAAGTGTTCCTTCTTCTTTTTCCCTTCCGTCTGGCACTCTGGGCGACCGCACGCTTGTTCGTAGGGTGGTGCCGGGAGGCGTGGCGTAGGCGCCAGGGGCCGCCACCGTGTCAAGCCCTTCCGCGACGGTACTGGTTGTCACTCCCTCTTTCGGACTTGTGGGTTTTCGCGTTTCCTCTGCTATACTGCTGTCGCCAACGGCGAACGAAAACAGCATTTCTGCCTGCCGCAGGCTTTCCAGGTGGTTGGCCTCGTCCATGCTATCGAGCTTCGCTAGCTCTCGGCCGTATCCCTTGCTAAGCAGCTGAAGAATTGCAGCAGACAGGTCAATGTGCGTGCCGGAACCAGATTGAATGTCACCAGCAACATATTTTTCTACGAAGTGTTTACAGCTGTTTCTTAAGTTTGTAGGCGGGCTTACGCCGGTACCCCGATGCTACAACAATGGGTGAGGAGCGATTCGCCAGAAATTAGTACAGCGAGGGTGACGTAAGCAAAACGCAGTAGACCCCGCTACGTCTACTATAGTGCAGCAGCGACTCGAATATCTTCTGCAGAAGAACCACCGCGCCGACGCTCGCCCCGAGCCTCCAACGATTTTGGACAGAGGTGTACCCTTGGACGACTACATCACCATGATCCGGCGAGATCGAGAAAAACACCATTGGTGGCCGCCAGACCTAACATGCTTGCACGTACATATTCAGCACCCAGCTGCACAGCCGTGAGCCGATGATGCTGGGCTCTGACAATGCCAACCCCGCCGCTGCATTATTGCTGCCTACCCATGACAGTGCAAATAAGAGTACTCGGTGTGACGACGATTATGGCATCACAGTTGCTTTCCCTTTTCGCGGATGTTCGCACCTCAGTTCTTTTGTCCTCGCGAGCCGCCAGCTCCCCCTCGTGGCGAGCTGCCAGCGTCTCGTGACTCTGGCGACGCTGCGATTGTATCCTCCACAGTTTCTCGGCTTCTCCTTTCCACCACCCCGAGATCCTCTGTTCCTCCTCTCGTGCCGCGCTCGTAGCTAAAAGCTGTTGCGTCCGTCTCCAAGCCTGCACCCGAATGTTCTGAACGGTTCCATCGCGCAGGAGAATACGGCATGTTGATCGCTCTTAATATGATCGTGCACGGCTTCTCGAAAGTACCGGAGGCTCTCTGCGACCCGCCGTTGTTTGCTCGGTTGCCGTTCCATAATCGTCGAGCAGCAAAGCAAAGAGCACCCCGTATTTCTCACACACCCCTAAATCAGGATACACCCGCCATCTTTAACGTTCAGTGTAGAGAAACCTGCTGTGGCTGGCAACCAAGTTAACAACAGGGTACCACAGAAAAGACCCGACCACCCTTATGAGGTTGAAAACGAGCCGCCGGTCACCTCCATCTCCAGAGCGGAGGCCCTGCGAACCACCTCCTGCCCTTCGATAGCCTTCGGGCACAGGCGTGCCTGCCACGGCAATTCCTTCCAGCTGTCGAATAGCGTCCTGTCGACGATGCCCAGCCCTTTGCTGGCGCTTCCAGCCTCCGCGGTACCATTACCACCAACAGCATCGGCCTCGCCTTCCTGTGCCAAGCTTCCGTTGGCGTTGCCGTCCAATTCCAAAGAGAACGACTCCTCGCCGGTTGACGCGAGCGTTCCGAACGAGTCGGCGGAGTTGACGGAGCGCGGTGAGGCTGACAACGCGGTGAACTCATCACCGTCTTCGGCTCTGCCGCCGCGACCGCAATCTAGCATTGGCGACCCATTGCAGCCGTAGATTTTCCTCTCCTGCTCAACTGGGATATTCCTTGCGAATCGGTGAGAGTCATTGCTTGGTCCATTGCTTTTCTCCGGTGCGATGTGTTCTGTAAATTTGACCACGATGTTTTGGACGTGAAGCGGTGGTCTCAATATGAATATATTGTTCGATGAGTCGGTAAGCGGGCACTTTTGTTCTGTTTCCGTAGCTTCTGTGTTCCCTTCCTAGAGTGGTTTTCTTGGTGTCAAAATATACGAAACAACATCCACAGGCTGTCACCTCGATCAGTAGCCCTTCCTCGTTTTGACACGCGCCGCTGCCCGCTGCAGATGTTGGCGCTAGCTTCCCCGCTGCAGGTTTTGCTACTGCCTACCGCACGGAGAGTGGGGAGCCTCTGTCCCTTCGTACGCGAGGGGCGGCTCTGCTTCAGCATGCGTGGCGGCGATAACAGTGGCAAGCGTCTACTTGACTGTACCGGCCCTCCTACTCCTCTTCCTCGTCCTCTTCCTCGTCCTCTTCCTCTTTCACTTTTTCCCCGCACCCCCTCACTTCTTCCTAAGGCTGATAGCGACAGGCTGTGCAGGCTCTTCGGGCTCTAGGTCGAGTTTGCCACACCCGAAGACAACACGGGGTGCGTTTGGTGTTCCATCAGACATTGGGTGTGCCAAACAAAATGACACGAAAAGGAATAAAGGTGTCCCTATCTTTTGACCACAAACTGTTTGGCATTCCACTTTGCTAGAGGCGCAGAAAGTACGGCAGCAGAAGTTTCGGAGTTTCTTTGGGAAAATCGGCAGAAAATGAAAGACTCACCGCTTGAGGTGTGTGTCTTCACTATTAGCATCGACCGCGCTAACTGGCTGACCAATGAAAGACGTCAGTCTCAGTGCGGTTGCAAACACAGTGTGTGTGTGTGTGTTTGTTCCTTTCGTTCTGGCGCCCGTCTACACATCTTTGAGTGTTCATTTCTGAAAAATCAGACGGTGTCATAGTCTACAGTAGTCTACAGGCGATGCTACCGTTGTGTGTCATTTGATTCTTAGGCCCTACCTTTCCTCCTGCGGCACTGGCCTTAGTTTTCATCGTTAGAAGGGTTCGCCGCCCCTTCCCTCGTTGACAAGTAGTCTAAGAATATTCTTTGTATAGCCTAGAAAGAAAGAACCCACCTACAACCTGCTGCTACTGTAGGAGGCTTACGAGGTTAACTACCAGACCACCGGGGCGACCGTTGTTGAAGGACACCTGCTGGACGCTGGACATTATTTCAGAATGTCTAAGCCAATGCACGGATGTACAGCACTTCAAATCTTCGAGCGTTCCTGTGTGCCCGAAAAAGAGAGAAACCACCATCTTGCTCAGCGCTGGTGAGGTCCATGTGGCCTCGGAGATGGCGACACATTTGATTCGAGCCCCTACTCTGCACAACCTACTATAGACTACACTCGTTGAGACCCTGTGCACAGTACGTTTAGCCGGCGTATACAACAGGGCTGACCAACACCGTAGCACAGAGGGTATGCTACTGGCAGGAGGCGTACCAAGTTCGTAGGAAGCCTACTCATAGGAAACCTACCTGCGCGCCGTGTACAGGTGGCAAAACCTATCTACTGACGTACACGCGCATCATGCAATATCTCGCTCTCACCGTGGCGTGATTGCTACTGCTGTTGCTAGATGGGTTGACGTTCAAACTCGGGCCCATGCAATAATCCCGCTGGTGGCCGGAGCTGTCCTGCTTGTGCACGAAACATCGACAAACTGCCAACGTGGAGTCCATCGGCCCACCGTATACGATGCCACTACTTGCGCAACATGAAACATTATTGCTTGCCGTGGGCGGTGCAATCGAAATACAGTACCTCAGACGCCATGCGGAGGGGGGAGCATCGTGGACTAAGGTCTCGTAAGATTGTGATTCTACGGTCTATTGGCGAAAAGACCTCAACTTGCCAAAGTATTACGGTCGTTTTGGGTCGGTATTCGTTGCTCGAGCGCGACCGAAAAACGTCAAGAAGTACATCGGCAACTTTCATCTGAAACCGTCACCCAACATACGGTAACACGCCTCCTTTCTTTTTATTTTATATTTTTCTCTTATCCGCGTAGGGGGGTTGGCAGAGAGGGCGCGGGGGGGGGGTTGACAGCGAGCACCCAAAGCGTCGCTTGCTACGCGGACAGACACAATCACGATCGTTGCTCAGGTCAGCCACGATCGTGCTGCGGGCGGGCGGGCTGCGTGATGGATTATACGAAGAAGATGGCGAGAGCTTCATTCTTTGCTGCGTGCTTGGTGGGGGCTGGGCAGTCCTTCAAGTACTCTCTCGACGACACCGTATACGAGCAAGCGCGCACGAGGTGCGGCAGAGATTTGCCTCTACAGCTGTCATGTCTTTATCGTTGTTGACCTTCCCCAAAGCAGTACGCGTCGCTGTAAACAGAGCACTGCTGGGAAGCGATTGTTCCAGAGCCTCTGCTGAAAGTATTGTAGCCATTGTTGACAACCTGTTGTTTCTTTTTTTGGCCCTCAAGGGATGCTGCTGGACATCAGTATCTGTGTGTTCCACAGATGACTCTCGAAACTCATTGGCAACCCCCCGCACTCTTCCGCTCTGCACTACTCCTGTACTTGTACTACTGCTGCATACTGCTCCTTCTTGGCCCTGGTCTCGTCTCCGCCGACGCAGCTACTCTGAAGGTTGGATGTACGGCTCTAACACGGGGCCGATGGGGGCTACTCATGGCTCTTCTTACATCCATACGGACCTGCAGGTTACAGCTATGTGAGAGGCCGATAGGCATTGTGGGGGTCTTCTTGCACAGCACTCTGTTGGAAGTAATTGGAACCTAACCGACCGGCGCGCCGGCTCGTCGTGCACCGTACGTCTGGCGTCGTCGTTGTTGTCTATCGCAGCAGTAGATATGATTTATGTAATGTTTCGTTACAGCTCATGGTATGCAACAGCTCGCAGCGCAATTGAGCCGTATTTCACGTCTCCACAGATGAGCTACCACAGATACTGCTGTACAATGCAGTATTCGGAACATGTGTGTGATATTTGTACTTGGAAGTTGCCTTTGATGTCAAATAATGACGAGATATAATGTGCGTTTCCCAAAATGCGTACCTCGACACCACACCTCCTCCGTTAGCTATGCATATGCATACAAGCGCCAGCTTTGATGGGTACACAGGATTTACTCCCGTGCGTCGTCGTACACAAGTTGTTTTTCTTCTTGTATGGTTTCTGCATTATGGTTTCTGCATCTACGAGTCGCGTTTTCACATCAACCTCCGTCAGGGGGTGTGCTCGTGATACTCGTGATACTGCAAAGAGTTCGCTTGCTTGCCTTGCCCTCGTGGGCAGGCCTGCCTGCTTGTTGTGAAGCCGTTCAGGGCGTTTTCTTGTGCAGGGGGGAGATTTTCATTTTTTCACACCGCGATGTCCAGACAAAGGCTAAGGTTTTTTTTTTTGCACGTGTGCGTGGGGGCGATGCACGACAATGCAGCGCGGCATGAATGAGCGAATGAGCCTGCGGTACAACTCCTCTGTATAAGAATCAACAAGAAGGGACTTCCGAGAATGTACACACATTCAAAGGACTACCATCCGTAGAGCTGTGCACGATTGCGACCGGCGACGACCTGACAACATCGTTAAATGCCCCCCCCCGGCTTCTTACCTCGCAGACCTCTCCGAGAGCCCAGCAGCGGCGAGTTCAACATCAGCATAATGTTTTATCGGTCGACGGTGCTTGACTATGGCGTTTACGAGAACCTCAACATCTGCGACGAAAGAGTGTCGCCGCCGTCCGCTTTTACAGATGTGAGGTGGTAGGCATGCTCCCAACTCGCAACATAACTTGAGTTATGCATTGGAGTACTCGATCATTGTAAGGAGCGTTTATTCAGGATTGGATCAAATGCTATGTACCTCCAAACAGGGGGAAACATGTTCAGGCAGCTGCTGTCTTCGCGCCCGCATACAACTCCACTTCTTGTACCCCATCTGCATCATTTCTTGCATCAAGCAGTGTGCGACTCAACTCGCTCGTGTCGCCATTTTTCCAAAGGAGTTGCCTTTGTAGGGCTATTCCGCAATTGCCTGTAGAGCGTACAAGAATAACTCGACCCACACACCTCCCTGGCCGTTTGAGAAAGAATCACGACTGCCCGGTGGGAGCACGGGCTTCGGGCTTACGATAGTTTGGGTATTTCGACTTTTAACGGATGTGTTCTTTGTTTAGAGAGGATACTTGACACCAAGAACGCCTACCCAATCTAGACGATACCCTATTCGAGGGGGATGTTCTCGCGGAAACCGTCACCCCGAACTTTTGAACAGACCTGTTGCCACCCCCACCCCGTTCACTTCGTCGTTTGGATGTGCCCGCGTCGCTACTTGCCCTGTGCATGAAACAAAAAAGGTTGAGGTAATTTCGTTCCCAGCCGTCCGAAACGCCGATTACGGGGCGGAAGATGGCGCGTTGGGCCAAGCCTATACGGCGGACGTGCTGGCGCACCGCGAGATCACGGAGTCGGGGCTTCAGCACGCCTTCATTCAGGTGTGCCCCACCGACGTCGGCGCCGAGGTCCTCAACACGGCCGGCTCGCTGGACTTCAGGAACCCGTACGGCTACCTGCCGGGCGCGGACTACGGCTGCCTCCCGTTCGAGGTGTTCCGCGTTGTCGCGTCGATGGCGCTCGGCATCGGGTTCGGCTACGCCATGCTGGCGCACCGGGCGTCGATCCTGCCGGTGCACAAGATGATCATCGGGGTGATCGTGCTGAGCACGCTAGAGGCTTCGACCTGGTGGGGCGCGTACAGCTACGTCAACGCGACGGGGAGGCCGTACTGCTGCCCGTACCCGGGCGTGGTGGTGCTGGCGATGCTGATGGAGGTCGTCCGGCGAACTACGAGCAGGTTCATGCTGCTCATGATCTGCCTCGGGTACGGCATCACCCGGGTGCAGCTCGAGAGGAGGGAGATGATCTCGGTCTGCGCGCTGACGGTGGCGTTCTTCGCGTCGGGCATCGTGCAGCTGGCCTCGTCAGTGGGCTCCGCCTCCAACGTGGGCAGCGGGGGCGAGTACGAGACCTACAACCCGTTGCTGGCCGTGCCCGCCCTTCTCTTCGACATGGTGAGTTTTTCGAAAAGGGACCGCGTCGCCGTCCCTTCCTCCCCGCAGCAGCAGACGAGGAGGAGAACAGGCGAGACTGGACTGAGGTTGTCCTCGTGAGAACTCTCGACGAGCAGCTTTTTGTGAGGCCTCGCTCTGGCTTCGGCCACCCCAGCGGACCCTCACCTTTTGCTAAATATCTAGTCAAGCTTTGTCTGGATCGACCTTCGGGTTCGAACAGAATCATGCTGTTTGGGAGGGACGGGGGTAAGCACCGTATCCCTCTTGGCGAGCAGAGCATGAACTTCCGAGTGTGACGTGACCTTCTCTAGACAGGGCCAGGCAAGCTGCTTGCTGTAGGAAGCCCCGACAGCTTCGTTCTATTTCTGCCGAACAGGGTTGTCGTTTTTTGCCTTTTTTTTTTTCGTGCGGGACAAGCATCTCTACATGTGTATCCCTCAAATATGAGTCCAGAACAATGTCCGCGATTGATCACGTTTTTTTCATCACCAACTGCTGTGTGTTTCTAGCAGTCTTGGCGTATAACCTTCTCTTTGGCACGTTACCTGGCCAGGTGTTTCTGACCTGGATATACGGGCAGCTCTCGAACATGTTGAAAGAGCTTAAGGACCTGAACGAGACCTATAAGTACAAGATGTTCAGGGGCCTGGCGTGGACGTTGGGCACCTTCGTAACCCTGTTCACGACCCTCACGGTGGCGATGCTGGCGGCGGAGGGAAGCCAGACTCAGAGCTGGGAGTGGAAGTTCGAGTGGATCAACGTCGTTTCTTGGGAGGTGCGAAAGGCGATGGTAGATGATAGATGATAGATGTCAAAAGGCGTGTGGTGGACGCTTGTCCGGCCCGATTGCACACGTTTTTTTTTTTTTCACGAGGGTTGCTAGGATCGTCGGGCTGCTTCGCGTCTTTGCCGGTCTGCTGGACGCATGTGCCCTTGCCGGTGCGCCCGGGAGGCTCGCTGGTGTTCCGCCCGTGGGCTGATGATGACGAGATATCAGCCGCAAGATGTCGCTTCGCACGGAGAACAGCAACAAGGATAACCGTGCGGAGGACCCCGCGATATGTGTGCGCTCGAGGGGTCACACTTGACGCATATACTGCTCTCAACCTACCCCGGCGATCGGCGTGTTTCTCCTCCCCTCCCCCCCCCCCCCCCCCGCTTGACGCAGATTCTCAATTTCTGCATGCTGGCAGCCGTGAGCATAATTTGGCGCCCGTCTCCTCGCAGCGCTTTGTTGGCGTACTCGAAGCAGGTGATCTAATACTACTACTACTACTACTACAACTATTACTGCGGTACACGGCGATAGCATGCAACTTGTTTTCAGAGCGTTGGCGATCTAAAACGTTTACCGGCAGCGGTTGTTGGCACCAATAGAAGAAGATTCTGTGTGTTCCCCTGGAGTGTGCGGTATTGTTATTGTATGTGTCGAACAAATGGCAGAACCTTCTCTACCTTACTTGGCAGATGAAACGAAGATCGTTCGCATGATACAAGCCAAGAGTCGTTGGTGAAAATTGCCGCACGCTACTTACGCATACGAGCACACATGCGAGCGCGCTGCCTACTGTTGTCGTGAAACAATTTGTACCACGATAAGTATCTTATTGGTGATGTAGAGTGTTGTGTGGGTTGCTGCTTAGCCACGCACGAGCTCTCAGCTCTTTAACTTTGCACGTGCAACAAGCGTGTTGCGTTATCAAAAGGTTTGATGCGTTTCCCTGGCATCGACCAGGTTTCGTAACACCGTTGCTTCGTTGCATCCAAATGCGGTTCCTTGGGATACCGTCCCGTGGAACATGTTTGTCGGCCGTACTCCGCGTACTTATCGGGTATTGTTTGTGTAGTGTATTAACTTCAGACGGTGAGGCAACGCCCGTACCCAGGGCGCTGTCGTGCTCAGAAAGGAGGAGTGGCAGCAGGGCTGCTGCACACAACAAAAGGGGGCCCCAGTGCATCATCACCGTACCCCTACCTAAAAGGTTCTACACCATCTGCGTCACACTTGTACGTACGGCTAACATATCCAAACCATGTCCGTAGACCCACGAACAGAACACGCCACAACTTTCAAGAGAACAATATTTGTACGCTCCTTATTCGATCAACGGGGAATTCAACAGGGAAAAATGTAGGTGCTGGTGGTGGCAGCGTTCATCTTCCCATGTTTCGTGAAAATCGAACCCTCGATTCCTTAGCAACTGAAAAGCGCGTTCTGTACTCCCCAAAATGCTTTTGTCAATCTCTCTCTCCAGCTTGCCACCACGGAGGTCGGCGCGGAAGAAGCTGACGGCATCGAGATGGACACGGTGGAGTTCCAAGGGGCCCCAGGAGGCCAGTTCACGATAGGGGATGATGGCGACGACGATGGCGTTGAGGAGGAGGGGGATGAGTTGGGCGACCGCGAGGGGAAGGTCGACGGCCAGGGCGGCCTTGGGACGGTTTACTCCATGGCCAACTTCGAGCCGCAGAGACACACGGACCTCGCGTAGGGCGTGTTCGGTAGCAGCGGAGCCTTGCTGAGGCAAAGAGCTCTGCAGTGAGTCTCACCGCGTGCGTCGTTGTTGTGTTGTTGTTGTCGCTACCGCCGTTGCGAAGTGTGTTATGTGTGTCTCGCCGACGCTTGGTAAGTGTTTATCTAGTGCACGCCGCCCTTTTTCATTCCGACTTTTTTGCTTGTTCAACTATGGCGTAGTTTCGATGTCGGCGAAATCTTTAATTTTCGGGTGTAATCCATCGGAATTATGTAGGGTTCGAGCTTTCGCAGTCGACTTCACTATTTTTTCCCTTGCGTCTTGCTCACTCGATGTAGTCCAGCCACCCGCAGAGTGAAGCTTCCGCTGTCTCTATAGTTCGGTGTTGTGGTGGTTATTGCTGTTGTTGTTTTTGTCTTGACTATGAAACTTGTACGATAATGGTTGTGTTGTCTGCGCGTCCAACGTGCGTTCAGGGGTGGTCAGTGTAACTTCGCGGCATCCTGTTCGTGCGGAGCCTGCACTTGGCTGTTCGCACGTATTTCTCGGTTGCCACGGAGAGGTTGCCCAGGAAAAAAAGCCTCCACCGGTACAGACGGCAGATGATGGCTTTGAGGCTGAACTCGCCCCCCCCGCCCGCTATGTAGCAGTCGCTTGACGCTCGCAAAAGCACCGCACACTAAAACGAACCGTTTCCGGGTGCCCCGTGGAAGAGATTTGTGATTCGCGGATGGTGGCCTTGATTCCTCTCTGGGGCACCGGCTTTTTGTGTTTTCACCCTGTTCTACACGGCGGCGAACGGTTTTCTTCTTCGCCGTAATTTGTGATTTACAATACGGGGTGGACCGAGCTAATGTCGGGCTGAGTAGTCACGGAAATTCGCTCGTTCACGTCTCTTGGGCTTGGTCGACGTCTTGTTGTTTAGTAAGCTTTGCATAGAATGTTTTGCGGGCGAGGTCTGGTACTACGTAGGATGCGAATGACACGCTGTTGGCGCAACTGCGGTGGCATCATGTAGATACATCATTTCCGGCGGCTCCGCCGCGCCCACAGCAGTGAGTGGTCGTCGTCGCTGTCGCTAGTGGATTTTCTGGTCGCACGGTCGTGGTCCCGGCGACGTATCACGGAGTTGTCGGAAGAATAAGAATTGTGCGTATTATTGGAGGGTTCCCTCCTCGGGTGGATTCAGTGGAAGACCCCGAAAGGTCGATGGTGTCGGTGGGGGGCTCGGTGGCGGAAGAGGGCACGGCGCACGACGCGTGTGTATGTGCTGTCTTTGGGTGTTACATAGGAGAGTTGGGTTCAATGAACGCATGTTGGGGGTTTCGATTCTTCTGTCCCACGTACTCACGTACCGACTTGCTCTGCTCCGTGCTATTCGCTACTACTATACACACGTGTCTGGCTCTACGGGGTTGTAATGTAGCGGATCCGACGGATAAGCTGTCAGCAACGCCACGAAGGGTGTGTTGTGTTCACAGCGAATGAATGCCGACAGTTTTGGTGCGTTTTCGTTGAGAATACCGAGACAGAAGAAGGGTACGGGTTGCGTAACCGAAGAGCCGTTGGATTAGGGTGCCCGGTTCATCAATGAACCGCACGAGCCCGCTTTACTATTAGCAGAAACGAACAGCGGCAGCAGCATGACGAAAGGATACTACTTCAGTCAGACCCACTGGTGGATGGATTTATGTTGAAGGAATCCGATGCAGGGCGCTCAAGCATCTACTGTGTGTCGACGTGTGTCGTTCAATGATTTTGAGTAGTGTTTACACATTGATAGTAGATCTTTAGGACTAACGCGTTCTGATTGGGCGGGCGTTGTTCGCGTTGGTTCTGGCGGCCGATTCCTCTCCAGCGCCCTCTCCCCGTTCCGCATTCCGAGCATGCGGCGCAGCCGCGTGCCGCCCGGTTCGCGGCCGCTAGGCCTTGCTTTGGCCGTGGGTGAGGGTTAGGGTAGATGTGGGGTGAGCAACCTAGCCTTGCTCGCGTGAAGAACCTAGCCTTGCTACGTTCAACATCGGTTAGTCCTAAAGAGTTACTATCAATGTGTAACCAAGGCTCATAATTTTTGTTCTGGAATCAATTGTCGTAAAACTGGAAACGGCACCACTCATCACGAACTGAAGGGCCATCTCACTCCGGGAGGGATATGCTCTCGACCAAGCGGCCCTCCACCTTGAGTCCGATGGCATGCACTAAAAATGCCACGACCGTATTTCATGTCCACGTCATGCGGCGAATAAGAAGATTAGTTCCCGACAGAAGCACTGAACAGCAGTTTGTACCAGGTTTGCTATGGTAATGGTGTACCCCATTGTTGGGGACAGTTGGCTTGTGACCACGGAAGGCGTCCGCGTCAGTTGGACCAGTACAGACATTCTAAGGGTAATAATTCCAACACTTGTGAAGAAGAAGGTATGTACGCATGCATACCGAGCGGAGAGATTGTGAAAAAATCCACTTAGATTGAACTTGCGCACATTATTTATTAAGTCCTCAAGGACATACATACACTCCCCGACTCGACCAATGACTGCGCCGAACAACGCTTGCATGTCCCCTCGAGGGCAACACCAGCTCATGATCTGTCTCTGATGAGCGGATAGCGGGTCAATTTCTGTATATCTTTTCTTGAAAAATCTGAGGTAAAATCTGCTAGCACTGCATCTCTCTTTTCTTCCCTCCTCTCGGTACATAATGTATTCTGCGTATCCCCCCGCCGAATCCCGTCTCTCGTTTCTGTGTCTCACCCACCTCTTGCACTTGCACTCTCTCTCTCTCTCCCCCTCCCTGATCTCTCTGCCTTCCGCACATCCAGCCTAGAAACATGACGGTCACACCCTGCGACACACCTGAGGCGCTGTCGACTGCCCTGACCGGTGCTGGATCCAAGCTGGTGAGAGAAGTGTGCGTCTCCAAATAGAGATGGATTGAGGGACGCGACACACCAAAGGCTCCTTTTCCCCCCGCTTTGCATGACATACCGTACACACACGGCTGGTATCACGTGGATGGTTTCGGTGTTACAGACACAGCGGGCCTGTTTTGGGTATGTGGGCGATGCGTAGACTATGTATCCATTGGTCCGTCCTCCTGTTGCTGGTCGTCATCTTGTCATCTGCTGGTCTGCACTGCCTTTGTTCTTGGTTTTTGGGTTGAAGCCGCCCGTTCGTTTTCGCCGATTTCTCAAAAAGCGCGAACAGCGAACAGCCCGTTTTAGCTATAAGCCCGTTTCCAACGAGCCTCCACAACGCTTGTCGCGTCCCCCGCGGTTCGCAAATCGCACTGTACAGCTCTCAAGTAGAGAGAGAGAGAGAGAGAGAGAGAGAGAGAGAGCCCTGGTAAACAGTTGTAGCCTAGTCGAAATAGGACGGGTGCTCAAGTTGGGCCCTTTATTGATTGGATTGTGGAGAGGTTGGGTCGGTGTCGGCTGAATACCGCTGCTGATCTCCCGCGATGCCGCCCGCGCTCCGCACCAATAGCATCCAGCTTGTCACTGCTGTCTCTCAAAAAGAGGTCCAGATGAAGCGAATGGAAGTATTCGTTTTGTCGTACAGGGTTGCCTGGTATCAATTCAATCTTGCTTGCTCCGCAAAAACGATGGTACAGCAGTACTTCGTCATACGCATGAGGCCTGCATGTAGACGGCATTTCCGACCATATCGACAAAAATCCGCCACATACAAACCGTGGCCAGTGGCAGTTCCCCCGCAGAAGAAGCACGTGCGTGGCCGCGGTACTCTTGCGTGCCGTGCTTGCTGGCAGAGAGTTACGCGATTTTCAACAGCAGTCAAACGGTGGAAGGGATTGTTTACCCTGATTCCCCCATGCCTATGGGTGTGCCCTTCCATGGTCTGGTTATTAGACTACTGCTGTTCGGTCGTTGTTGCTGAGGTAATGTTGATGATGTTGCTGATGATCTTGATGTTAATACTACGACCGTCGGCGGTTGCGTTGGACACTGTGAGAACTGGTGATGTACACGCATAGTACGTACAAGGGCTTCGCGGCGGCCCGCCCGCCGCTTCGCAAAGGCCCAATGCGATGCCAAGTGGGCGATGTTCGAGGAAAGATGATATGAATAGGAAGACGTTGCCGCTACTGGCAGTCTCCTGAGCGGGCCTTTGCTTCTTGGCAGGGGACTTGTCGAAAAACTTAGACATGGATGCGCTCTCAGACGTAGAGTGCGTAGGTGCAGCGAGTGGAGTGGACGGGTGCTGCGATGCCGCCCGCGGGGATTTTCTGAGAGAAATGTCCCACTTTTCTCCGTTTCTCCGCTGGTCGTGCCCTACTGTTGGAGCTACTCTGCAGTTGTGTTGGGCGCCGCTCATAAATCACCTTGACCCCCTTCTTTTTTTGCCGCTGCGGCCAGCCATTCATCTAGCGAAATAGAGATCGCGAATTGGCGTCAAGACCGCGAAAATCGTATATGCAAGCCACTGGCAAAAAATCCAGAAAATGTCGCCGAACAAATTCCCCGACGAAGCAAACAAAATTGCTATTCACCACTGGGCAGTTTGCTCGACTGCGGTGGCGAATCGATTCAGACTCTGACAGCTGTTGAGTGTACCATGGAGTAAGATCGACAACCATTGCGTTCAGCGTTGTTTGGGACACTTGAGGCTGTGCCTCCAGTACTGGTGTGTGCCTTCCATGAACAAAACGTACACGCCAGACACGCACACCTCACAGCAGCGAATTTGACGCGCGGGCTGCACCGGAGGAACATTTGACCGCAACAGGGATATATATTTCCGCCCGGCGGGGAATTACAGTCGATACGCTCCAAAACACACGGGCAATCTCAGGAAGCACTCCACTCCAAAACCGAAACTCGAATGATGCGACTGAACACACATACATATACCTACCTCTGCAGGACATGTGGGCGGGCGGGACTGTACGTTAGGGCAATCTCAGGAAGCACTCCACTCCAAAACCGAAACTCGAATGATGCGCCTGAAACACCTACCTCTGCAGGACATGTGGGCGGGCGGGACTGTACGTTTTTAAGAATCGCGGCTGTGATTGGGGGGGCGACCGGAGAACTCGTAGACGCGACTTTGCGACCTTGCCACCACGACGCCACGGCCGTACCGATGGCGAGCCGCACACGGGCACGCCCCTCGCGACTCGAGGCTACCGACACGCGCAAGTCCGGCGGCGCAACGAGGTCCACAGGCGGAGAAATCGCAAAAAAACAGCTCTAGGGCGCCGAGAGCGCAGGAAGGCCAAATGGCGGCCTCTCACGGCTCGAGTATGAAGGTCTATAGGTCTACTTCGAAAATGCGTTAAAAGGTGTTTGTCTCCCTTCACGAATAAGAACCGTTCCGGGTTTCTGCTGGGTTCAAGTACCTTATAACACCCGCAGTTGTATTTGACGTCGTTCCAAGGACGAGAAAAACGTTCGATGAACGACTCTCTCTCTCTCTCTCTCTCTCTCTCTCTCTCTCTCTCTCTCTCTCTCTCTCTCTCTCTCTGTGTGTCGTGTATTTGCGGGGAGGAGCTTCAATATTATTTTATTATTCCTTAATATTATGAAACGAAGTTGACATTTTTTTTATCAACAATCTTCCTCTTTACTGCTCATTTTATACGCATAGACGGGGAAGACACAGACAGACACAAACAGAGCTTGCCTGAGTAGCAAGGGGAGAAGAAGAGAAGAAGTTGCCATGCATGCATCTAGCATAGCGCATGGCACTCAAAAAGACGGTTGCTCCATAACTCTCCTTGTGAGACGTGATTTCTTAGACTTTTAGGATTTTTTTGTTCCGTTGTATTTTCGGCCACCTTCGCCGCGAGCCTTCCGTCTGTACTTTTGACTTGAACATCCTATCGAGCTCCACGCGGAGGTACAGTATGTGTACAGCAGTAGTCAGCCCCCATGAAGACAGCAGCTAAATATATTGTTTGCGAATGTGACGGCTTGCCTCTCTCGTAGGAGGGCCAGCTCGTGTTTTGTCCCCTCGCCACGTGTTACCCATGCAAGGCGGGGTTTCCTGTCGTGTGGCTTGTGCGTGTGGCTTGTGCTCTTTTTTCTGCGTGTCGCACGCGCACCTTGTACCAGTAGGTTTATTTAATTAAGTTTTTTTTTTTTTGCGTGCTCGGTCGCGAATCTTTCTGAAAGGTGGTGGTTGACTTCCACGCCACCTGGTGCGGCCCTTGCAAGCGGATCGCTCCCTTCCTGGTTAAGCTGTCGGAGACTCTGACCGACGTCGTCTTCCTCAAGGTATGTTGTGTATGTTGTATACTGTAACTGCTATGTGCGATTCTTTCCTGTGCGCGGGTGCCCCGCCCACCCGGCACTCTTCTCAGTAGACTTTGCGAGGAGTTCTAGCAGGGGGTACGGGGTGGTGTCGGGGGTTAGGGATGGGAACCGTCTCTCAATTTCGTAGAAAGAACACTTTCGTGAAATAGAGAATAAATTATGAAGATGGGAGAGTGAGATTCAGTAGTGGAATATATATATAACTTACGTTGAGCGCGTGTTGAAGTCTGGTGAACGAAACTTAAACATTTTCCTCCGGGAAACGAGCATATTTATGGAAAATACGTTTTTGGTGTGTTTGGATTATACACGAACAAATATGTATCTCCCGGAAAACTACGAACGAAATTCTCGGTTTTTTTTGCATGTAAATAGGAGTTGGCGAACAAATATTCATAGCTTCCATGTATGTCCTATTATCTATCCATTCCGACCGAACCGTCGCTTCGCCCCTTCGTGGAGTGATGGCGGCGGCGGTGTGGAAAGCCCGAGGACGCGACAACGAGAGAGACGTGGTCACTAAGTGAGCTCCTACGGTATGCATACTATTTTAACATCCTCACAAAGGTGGTCCACTCTTGTAAAGGGTGTGTGTGTGCTGCTTTTCTCGCTTTTTTTTTATTTTCCGACACACGGCGGGGCGGCCTGAACGATGACCTGCTTGGCAGGCAGGAAAAATGGCACGAGAAAAGAGCAGCGGCAACAACCGAACACAACACGACACCCCCGACCAGTAATTGGGGGACGTGGACTATTTAAAACCCGAACAAAATAACAACCCTATCCAACAAACCCCAACCGTAACCCTGAGAAGGTGGACGTGGACGAGAACAGCGACGCGTCGGAGAAGTACGGGATCGAGGCCATGCCCACCTTCAAGTTCATCAAGAACGGGGAGGTGGTGGAGACGGTCACCGGTGCCGACGAGGCTAGCATCGAAGCCACCGCCCGGCAGTTCAAGTAGATAAATACTTGTATAAAAAGCAACGACTGACTATGTTACCTGTGATAACACCGAGAGAGGGGCAGGAAACTGCGTTGTTGTTGGTGCATAGATGAGGAAGAGAAGAGGGGGCCTGGCCCGTTTACGCGCTTTTTATTGTGACAAGACAAGGCTGGGGAGGGGTAGGGTTTGCCGCGGCCCGGCACGTCAAGGACAAGACGTACTGACGTTGTACCAAAGAGCGGTATTGTATACATGTAGGAAGGTTTGTGACAGCAGTCAGTAACGGAAAGGATGCGCGTACATGCATGATCATGTTGGAGAACGGGGCAGCTTGTAGCTTGGGGTGCGTGTTTTCCGTTTTCCTTGGGCTTGCACGCATGGTGGCTTCAACGCGATCAGCTAGACTACATGCGTTTCAATCGCTGAACGCGTTTCCACCAAAGATTTTTGCGTGTGTGTTCTCGTAGGAGCATCACGAAATTCATTGCTGGCGCTGGTTTTGTTGTGTCGCATCTGCAACTGTGGTGCTGTGTAGGTGACGCGCTGGTAGACGATGGACGTCAATTGTGTTCAGCTCTTGAGACGAAAGACGCGTCGTTGCTGCGGCGGTTGCGTGGGAGGGGAACGGTGAAAGCAAAGAGGAGCAAGCTCCAGAGTTGTGTGCGTTGGCTAGAATGGCTTTAGAAGGGACAGGCGCTAGAACTCTCGCAAACGGTGCCTTGATATCATAGAACAAGCCGTGTAAACATGAAAGTACCGTAGCAACGGGGAGAGGGGGGGGGGGGGGGGG